CACGATCGACAGCGCGCGGGCCATTACTGCTCTCCACGACTGTGCATGGATGCTGCAGCAGGTCAAAGATATGTTTGCTGGCCTTCTAGGGAGGAGACAAGCGAGTGGTTGGCCAGACACCGTGACATGGACAGCATCGACAGCAGCAACATCATCAACAACATCATCAATAACATCAATATCATCAACAATAGCAACAACAGCACCGACACCGACCGCACCAACAGAGGCCGTTACGACCATATTGCCAATAATAACACCACTATACATAACAGCGACATCATCGAGTATTCCAGGCTGTGTTCTGCAACGGAAGCCGGTTGAGCAGGGTCATGATGCATGGGGGTTGGAAGAGGGGTCGCCCCCTTACGTGGAATTCGCGAATCTGCCACGATCAAATGCGCAGATGCGGCGCGGCTATAAGGCCCTTGAGGAGGGGCAGGGGCTTTGTGGCGAGTTCGAGGACCGACTTCATGATGAAGATGACGACGATACCGCGGACGGCCTTCGGGACAGCAGCATCACCGATGGAGAACCGGCCAGGATCGATGACGCTCTTGATAACAACAACAACAACAACAACAACAACAACAACAACAACAACAACAACAACAACACTGGCGCAGATATTCGCGGAACGGGCAAAAGCAAACTGAGTGGAGACGCTTGCCACGCCATTTGTCAGCCTTTTCCGATGCTTTGCCGCAAAGCAGTGGGGTTTCACAAATCTTCTTCCGAAGCTTTGCCGCAAAGCAGGGGGTCCACCTCTCAGTCTGGTGGTTGAAGGGCATACTCACACAAGCACTTTCCAAAATGCATCAGGCCCCAATTTCGGCCACACCTGTATGCATCTGGCCGCAATTCCGTCCAGAAATAAGTGAAAAAGTCCTGGTGTGAGTATGCCCTAAAACTTGACACCCTGACTGCGCCCTAAATATTATTTCAAAAACGAACAAGAAAAAAAAAGTGTGTTCCGCTGACAAGTAGCTTCCATCAATGTATCCAAAAACACTAATAAAAACAAAACAAAACAAAAAAAAACACGAATAAATTGAAAGTTAAAAGTTAAAACCCCGGTGAAGAGCAAACTAGAGTTGTATCCATTGGGTGCGTGGTGGCGGGAAACCCATCTAGGCAACAAAGGCTCTTTACAGTGTGATTGGACAGTGATGATGGGAGAGTAATCCTACAGCTCACTCTTCTTGCCCAGCTCCTGGTCTTTGAGTTTTAGGTTCTACTGATAATTAGGGAAGGAAGTCTCCCGGTGTTAGTAGAATTATTCCCGGTCAGTCGCGCCGATAGTCCCGTTATGTTTTGTCTTTTTATAGATCTCAATATTAGTACCCCCGGCCCCAATTTCTGTTAAGAGTAAATTTAGTATTATTTCGATTGAATTTTTAGACTGGATTTGTATCGAAGAATTTAGCATGCTTTTGGAAATAATTTTAGGGTTAAATTGAAATTTCTGGTGAATTGTTTTGTGCATTTTCAGATTTGCAGTTCATAGGCTTATAGCTCGTTGTTCTCTGCCAATAGTGTTTCGATTTTAGAAACATGCTGGTGTCTTCCTGCGCAGCGAAGATATTATACTGCGATAGTTTTACTCTGCAATTTTTTATTTTTGGGGATTCCTTTAAGGGACACTGGACCCCGTTTCCAGAAGCCTAATGCTGAGTATTGGCCTCAGCACGTTTGTACCGGGTTGACGTGTAGGGGTGTGTTCCCGGGCCCCAGTGGTCTCATTTCGAATGAAAAGTGCTATGTTTCTCCGGGGAAAAAAAAAAAAAAAAAAAAAAAAAAAAAAAAAAAAGTTATAACCCGCATCCATTATTTAAATTAAAAAAAAAACAAAAAACAAACCACATCCATACCTTTCTCGGCCTTTTGGCTAAAAATAGATCAAGTGCACTGTATCTGTTCTGATCAGTTTAATATCTGATCTCTGGTCCATGGGGCCACATGATATTAAAAATAATTAAATTAAATTTTCAGGCCTTTGGAGGGGTGACAGGGGTAGGCTTTTGGCTACTTTACCCTTCCGGCGTTGCCTTCATATTGCACTGCAGAGAAGCGTGGCGCCGCCCATTCCCCCCCGGGGGAGAGGGAGAAGGAAAAAAAGAAAAAAAAGAAAAAAAAGAAAAAAAACCCACATCGTATCAACCACCTCTCCCAATTCCCATAATCCCTTGAAAGGAGAGGATGGTCATGCAAAAGACCTTTTTATAAAATAATACATATATCATAATATCTGAGATGTTTAATATGTGTTAAAAAGACAAAACCCACCTACCTCTTTTGTTTTCTTTTTTCTTTCTTACCAGCGGCAAGGTCCCACTAGCAAAGAGGATCGGATCGAATGCCTGAATCTGGACGAGATTTTGGAGATGTGCAGGAAATCCGGATTGAACTGCTTTCCTGCATCTGTGCTTCTGGCACATCCAGATTCAGGAGCTTGATCCTTTCCTTTTTGCTAATGGGACCTCGGCCCAGGAGAACAGCTTTGATAATAAGCCAGGAATTGGGCCTAAATGTCGGAAAAAAAAAAAAAAAAAAAAAAAACAAAAAAACAAACAAACAGACAAACAAACAAACAAACAGGAATTGGGCGTTACATAAAAAAAAAAAACCGCTGTAGGTTTGGCAAAACTGGTGCGCAAAACGCACTGTTAAGGCACGGGCAGAATGTCAGATATGCCCTGGGACTCAGATGGAAGATCTGCAACACTCTGTGCTGTATTGTGATGTTACTCGGCCTTTCTGGGATTGGTGGAGACATTCGGAAATCCCGGTCCCTGGAAACAGTACCAGATGGACAACTGCGGCTAGGCGAACACCTTTCCCGCAGAATTTTACATATGCGGAAGAGACACTCAGGGGGGCAATACTGTGGACTCTTTGGAGGCTGAGGAACTCAGCAACCAGAGGTGGAGAGAGACTGACGCCGCCGATGGTTCAAGCAGAGGTTAAATATGGCATCAAACAAGCGATACAGGCTGACCGGGAGCACCGTGTGCAGCGAAAGGGGTTTACAAGGAATGCGATGCAGTACTTTACTACACGTTGGGATGCTTTTGCGGGACTTGCTACAGTGGACTGTCCCCCGGGGCAAGCGCCTTGTCTACTTTTTCTGGGGTTTTTTTCTGTGATTGAGTATACTGGTTTGCGGACATGTAGGATTTGTTTCCTTTTTTCGCTGGTACTGAAGTAGAATAGGTGGAAGAGATTAAGAGAAGAAGGTTTGTGGCCCTCCGCACAGCCGTGGCATGAGCTTTGCCTGGCCGGAGTGCCTTGCTCAGCCCAGGGCTGCGGCAATCTTTTGTGAGGGACGCCGGGCCCGCTTCCGGGCTTTGATGATTAATAAAGATTAAAAATAAAATATAAAAAAAACTGGCAAAAAGGAGAAAAACCAGGAGACATAATTAAACCACCAGTATGCAGGAAAGTAGAAACGTTTCTACTCGAATGAAAATTTGGACAATTCTGTAGTGGCCCATACGTTTCCGAACATCGTGGCTTGTTAAGGCACAACTTTAGGAAGTACTGGTCTTTTAACTTGCAGAAAATTATCCACCGTTCATCCTGTGATGCTAACCCATCACCCCCAAAGTAGGGTCCCGCCTTAGGGCGCACACATTGTTGCACAACCCATCACGGGAGGTTTAATCCTCAAGGTAGGACACACCCCTCCAATCCCGCATATTCTGCAATCACTCCCTACAGGCTACAAGGATGCTCAGCACCCTCCATGATGGTGTGCCTTCACAGAAGGCCGTTCACCCCACTCCCCAATCCCACACCGGAGATCCTACCCAGCCACCCCCTCTTGGCATCTTTTTCGATCTTTGTTGGGTTAAACCACCAGTACTCGGGCGACGCCTTAGCGTTAACGCTACACGATTTCCGCGGCCGGCGGGCCGTCGATAAATCGAATCGACAGCCCGCGCTGCTTCGAGATTTGGGCGGCCGGCGCGGCGCGCAGTGCCCAAGTACTGGTGGTTTAAGATTCAATCTTGCAGTCTGTCACATACTCGCGTGTGTGGTATGTGCACGGGATTGCTCTCTTTTGATGTTCAGGTATTCGTTGAATTCCTGCCGCCCCCCTCCCCTCCAACCCAAAGTCAAGGTAGAACACCCTATACAACACCCTGAGCTTAAAAAAAACAAAAAAAAAGGGAAAAAGAACAAGGTAGAACACCTATAGTCCAACCCACCACCCCCAATTCAAGGTAGAACACCCTATAGCCCGACCCACCACCCCCAATTCACGGTTAACACCCTATAGCCCAGCCCCCCACCCCCAACTCAAGGTGGAACAACCGCATCTTCCATAATTGCCCCCTAGTATAAGGACGCTCGCCACCCTCCACGATAAACCTTCATAGAGCAATGCTCCCCTTCTTCCGCAACCCACCTTCGCGGACCCATAGCACACACATTCGAACACCTTCACGAACCCGTAGCACACACATTTGAACTCCTGCCACCCGCATGGCACGGTCCCACCTAAGGTGGACCCTATAGCCCAACCCACCATCCCCAGTTAACTGTAAGACACCCTTTAGCCCAACGCACCACCCCCAATTCACGGTAGAACACCCACATCTTCCATAAGCGCTCCCTACAAGGACACTCACCCCTCTCCATGATGATACCTTCACAGAGCTATGCTCCCCAGGCCCCTCCATGATTGTAACTTCACAGAGTGCTGCTCCCCCTCCTCCCTCAACCCACCCTAGCAGACCCCATAGCACATGCAGTCTAACTCCTGCCCCCTATAGCCCAACCCACCATCCCCAATTCAAAGGTAGAACATCCATATCTTCTGCCATAACTCCCTACAAAAAAAGCTATGGTGCAATTGGACTCATCTACCCACAAAGGGCATAAGCCTTGACCAAAAAGGCAAAGAAACCTATCTGTCTAATCATATGAGCAAATGGGAATTTTTTTTTGTGTTTTTTTTCGTTTTTTTTGGGAAGAGCAAATGGAACCAAACACAACTAATCATCAGTGAACTAGACCGAAACAGCCAATCACAAATAGTCTGAAACATCCTTTCCTCCCCAGCATGCTTACAAGTTACAATGAATGCTGCCACACATCATGACCAGGTGCGTACCTGCTTTCTCTTTTTCAATCCCATGCCCAGACGCATACTACTTCATCTTCTTGACACTTCTTCTTGACGCTTCCAGGAGTATAATCCATCTCTTGGACCTCTACACATCCTATACCAGCTGATACGGTCAATTATTATTATTATTTTTATTATTATTATTATTATTATTATTATTATTATTATTATTATCATTATTATTATTATTATCGTACAATCGCTTCTTGCTGCTGTTATACAGTCTGGACGTCCAATACTATACATGAGAGTACTCGTATTTCTGTGTTGTTTTTCTGATGTCCAGTTTTCAGAAATACCAGATTCTTTTTTTTCGACTTCCTGTTTTTTTCGTCAACACTGTCCACTGACATTCGACTGCGCGCGAGAATGGCCATCCCTTCTCACCCTCTCACCACTACTGCGATGTCCTCCGTACTCTTCACCCAACCTTTATCCAAGTGTCCATAACCTTTGCACACGTGCCTATTCTGCATTGCCTAGATAGTTCGTGTGTGGCACTTCCCATTTAAATCGGGATTAGGACGTGGAGTGACACGTTGTTTTCATAAGCAACCGCGTGCCACATATGCAAGTCTCTACAAGCACAAGGGCATCTCCATATATATATATATGTGCACACCATGGACGTTTCGGACGGTCTTGTGAAGGCAATCATGTGGCCATGTGTATGCTTTGTCGTATTGACTTCGGTTACCGTAGTCCTTATGCTCAGAAAAAAACCCTCTCTCAGCTTCCCTAGCATTTGGACGCTACGTTCCCTGCACTCCACGATCCGTGCACGTTCCATTCACTCCACGTTCCATATGCTCCACGTTCCGTTACACTTCCACGCACTCTACATTCACGGTCTATGCAGTCCAGGTAAGATGCACTCACTCCACGTTCCATGCACCCCACATTAGCACCCCACGTCCCATGCAGTCTACGTTACATCCACTCCACGTTCCACTTTCCACATGCATGCACTCCACATGCCATGCACTTGACGTTACACGTCCCATGCAGTCCATGTACCATGCACTAAAGGTTACACTTCCATGCAGTCCACGTGCCATGCACTCCACGTTCACGTTCGTGGTAGTCCACGTAGCATGCACTCACTCCACGTTCCATGCACTCCACATTAGCACCCCACGTACCACGTTCCGCATGCATGCACTTCACGTGCCCCCCACGTTCACGTTCGATGTAGTCCACGTACCATGCACTCGCTCCACGTTCCATGCACCCCGCGTACCACATTCTCACATGCATGCACTCCACGTGCCATGCACTTGACGTTACACGTCCCATGCAGTCCATGTACCACGCACTCCACGTTCACGTTCGATGTAGTCCACGTAGCATGCACTCACTCCACGTTCCATGCACCCCCGATTAGAACCCAACATTCCACGTTCCACATGCATGCACTCCACGTGCCATGCACTTGGCGTTACACGTCCCATGCACTCCACGTTCACTTCCATGCAGTGCCATGCAATCCACGTTCACATTCGATGCAGTCCGCACAGGATGCAGTCTACGTTACCAGTTCCATGCACTCCACATTCCACGTTCCATCCACTCCACATTCCATGTTCCATGCAGTCCACTTTGCACGTTCCATTCACTCCACATTCCACATTCCATGCAGTCAACTTCACACGTTCCATGCACTCCACGTTCCGCGTTCTGCATGCAGTCCACTTTGCACGTTCCATTCACTCCATATTCCACGTTGCATGCAGTCGACTTCACACGTTCCATGCACTCCATGCACTCCATGTTGCGCGTTCTTGCAGCCCATGTTCCATGCACCCCACGTTCCATCCACCCACGTTAATGACGACAAGGATCGTGAGTACACACGCAACGTGTCACCTCCACAATCGGAACGAAATCTCAGCTCCCCGAGTGCTTCACTGCCTAGCCCCACGTGCGCCACGTGCCAGTAGACGACAGAGCTGAGAAGATCCTTGCATGCAAACATCACTGACCAATCAATCGCCGGATAGACCAGTTGATTGATTGATTGATTGATTGAGGAATCGACTGATACATATAGATTCATTAATAGGTAGTTGTCTTCTCGACAAATAACAACCCCGAGCTAGTTAGACAAACACATTCCACTGATATTCTTTTCATATCTCTATACCTCCCTACCACCGCTCGATCAGCACCCGGGTCCCGACTTACTGTTTGACCGAGCGAGCCGTTCATCCCTTGCAAGACTGATTGATTGACGAATCGTTTCATATGACTGATTCTTGATTGACTCTTTGATTAATAGCTGGGTATCTTATCTCTCAATCGCTAGCTACATGGACTTAACTAGATCACACATTACTATGTTTTTTAATTTTTTCCCCTTTGGCCGCTCAATCTGAAGATTCTGAACCTCTTTGTGCTGACAAAAACGCGGTCCCCCACCGTGGATATTCCCGACCTAAAACCAACAAAAACTCACGAAAACAACAAAAAGCAAAAGCAAAACTCACTGACGGCCTCGCACTTCAAACGCTCTTTATCGCATTCGACAAATAGACAAAAGGGCTTCAGACAGACAAATATACGAAGCGTCGCTCGCTTGCATGACCCGGGGATCTGGAGTTGATTATGCCTTCTTCTTCTTCGTCTTCTTCGTCTTCGTCTTCTTCTTCTTCTTCTTCTTCTTCTTCTTCGTCGTCGTCGTCGTCTTCTAACTTCTTCGTCTTCTTCTTCTAAGGTCTGATGGAACACTCCGAGGAGGAACTTTCATCGAAGGTTACCGAGTGACCGCTGTGCGCCAAATTCCGTGAAGCATTCTTGGGCCCACAAGCTGTCCCGCACCGAGAGGCCCACCGGCCCAGATGACGTTTAGCTGCGCGCGGATGACCACTCTCTGCCCCCTGCGATAGGCTGTACTGTGAACGAGAGACAAACAAACACAAGCACCTCTCTCCCATCGACCTACTCTCTCCCCTCTCCGTCTCCCTCTCACCCCTCCACTCTCCCACCCTCGCGCCCGTCGTCCCAACCTGTCCCAAGCCTCTCCAGCTGACACTAGTCAGTTCTGCGCCCAGCTGACACACAGAACCACACACCTCCCTCCTTCAGTTCCTCCTCCTCCTCCTCCTTCTCCTCCTGCCTTTTCTCCTCCTCCTCGCTCCTCCTCCTCCCTCCTCCCTCCTCCTCCTCCTCGCTCCTCTTCCTTCTCCTCCTCCTCCCTCCGCCTCCTCGTCCTCGTGCTCCACCTCCTCGCTCTTCCTTCTCCTCCTCCTCCCTCCGCCTCCTTCAGTTCCTACTCCTCGCTCCTCCTCCTCCCTCCTCCTCCCTCCTCCTCCTCCTGCCTTTTCTCCTCCTCCTCGCTCCTCTTCCTCCTCCTCCTCCCTCCGCCTCCTCATCCTCGTGCTCCACCTCCTTCTCTACGGCCCGGTGAGATATTCCAGGCCGATTTCATTGAAGGTCACACTGTAGCCCGCCTTACCGAACTCCGGTACCACTTGGATGCTCATGCTGTCCCTCCCTGAGAGTCCCAAGGCCCGCAGTGTCCCACGCAGTGACACCTGCGTGTTCATCGTCACCACAGTCGATGATCCCATCATGCTAAAATAGGAAGTCACGTAGTGCGGGTTGCCTGATCGAGGAGACGAGAGAGAAGCACTGGGGTAATTCAGGAACACATGGAACGAGAACCTGGACTTCGGATTATAACTGAAATTCCGAAAAGATACGACCTCCATCAGGTCTGAAACTCGGGCTTCAGCGGGAAGCACTGGCGGCAACAGGATCACACTGACCGTGTCTCCAGAAGAGGTTATGGGTCCCGCAACTACCGCAGCTGCGGGGGGCGGTGCGCTGGTGCCAGCGATTGGCGTCATTGATGGCAGCTGCATCACGTGGCAGGAGGCCAATGTCCTCCTGCTGCCTCCGTGTGATCGATCCGCTACACCACCTCCTCCTCCTCCTCGTAGTCGTCTTCCTTGTGGGAGTCCTGCTGCGGCTCCTGGTGACGTCAGACGTCTAGAAGAGCTGCTGCTGGTGATGACACGTGTACCAGGTCCCGCAAAAGATCTCCCAGCAGCTCCACGTGGGACGTTGTCGCGGCGGCCGTTTCGTGGTAAAGACATCATTGGTGTGGGATATCTGTTGACGTCAACCAACAAAAATGGCGATTGGAGAAACAAAAGCGAAGAAGAGAAGAGAAGAGAAGAGAAGACGAGCCCCTTTTTCGGCTTTCCTGCTGTGAGAGAAGCAAGAGAGAGGACAGGTGCTCCACCCACCACCCACGCCGCAGCAATCCACGCGTGTGTTTTGCCTTTCCTGCTGCTCCTCTCTCCGATGATTCACTGCTTGTTCACTGAAGATTCTTTAGGTGCCCCACCCACCCACAACGCAGCAATCCACGTGTTGTTCCCTGGCTTCACCACGTATCAGCCTCCGCGACGTATTGAGATGACACCTGTAAATGCCACGTTCTCCCGCGTTCACCCCCCCCTCCTCTCTCCTCTCTCCTCTCTCTTCTCTCCTCTCTCCTCTTAGTTCTGCACCCCTAATTTGGACAACACACACCGCACCACACGATGGCAACACACGTGGTACAATTTCTTAAAAATCTTTTGTCTTTTTTTTCTTTTTTTTCAAGGATAGATGAGAATCATGAGATTAGTAAAAATCATCCGTCCCTTCACTTCAAAGAGAGTATAGAATGGATTCCTGCTATTGGTATTAAATGGGCTTCAGGTGTGGATTGACTTTCTATGGGACTTGTTTTATTGACAGGTTTAGTCCAGTGGACTAAACTGGACTAAACCTGTCAATAAAATAGATCCTGGGACTTGTTTTATTGACAGGTTTAGTCCACTAAACCTGTCAATAAAATAGGATGGCCAAGCTATGGATGGATTCCTGCTACATTAGCTGTTCTCGCAGCATGGCCTATAACATGCAATCCGAATTTTTTAAACTTTTTAATGCTAGTTATGTATAGTGGACATTGGACAAATAGGGCTTTTTAAGTCTCAGGATCTTTTTTTATTCTTCTTAATGAGGGAATTAGAACTAATACCCATTTATCTTTTAACATATTTATGGGGGGGGGGGGAGAAGAAGGCTTTATGCCGCTACAAAATTTATCTTTTATACAGCTATAAGCCTCCCCCCGGGTGCTAGTGGTGTCTGCTCCTACCAGCACCACTAACACTGCGAGGGTGTGTTTTCCAAAAAAAAAAAACAAAAAGGGTCACTTTTTTTATTTATAGCTACGTTCACTGTTT